TGGCCCATCATACTTACTTGTGTAATATTCCCCCCGTTTCCCTTTTCTGTAGTTCTGGGTGAAGAGCATACCTGTTCTGGATGTAATGCAGTTTTCCCTGCTTGGGTACCACTTCTGATGGTACACCTTTGTGCATATGCTTTTTCTATAAACTATGCCCTCACTGGCCCCTCTGCCTTCTCAATGTGGGATTCTAACTATCAGTTTCAACAGAAGTATATATGTTTTGGAAGTACATGAACTTACAAAATCCAGAAGTGTGAGCAAGCATAACTCTTATGAGGTTTGGGCCAAACCAGTTTACTTAATAGTGTAGTAAACTATTTTTTTCTTGCTGTAAGTGGTGTTGTATGAAAAGTTGAGATTATCTATGAGACTAATTGCATTAATCAGTGTCATAAAAATAATCAATTAATCAAAATTTTTGATTATTCCAGCAATACAAGTGCCATGTGAGAATAATTAATTAATTAGTTGAACGTAATCAATTAATAAGTTTGAGGATTAATTGATTAGCAAATTCCAGTAATTGGCAGCTTTAGTTGTATGTACCCATAGTTTAGTTTTTTTGCATGAAATGACAAGCACAAAATGCAGGTTTTGCAAAAATGGAAACCTCCAGGAAATATGGTAAGATTTCGTTTCTTGTTTCAAATTAAGTATCCTTCAAGCTGTTGACGTTGATTCCCCGTGTGCCAGAGAATTTCCTAGTAGTTCGGGGAAGGGTAGCTGTAGATCATCTTCTGAAAGAGAGAAGACATTGTCAAGAAATGGGGCCAGCTGCAGTAATGATAATTGCCGACCTCATTCAGACAGATCTGCTGTTGTTGTGGATCTCACAAATTCAGATGATGAAGCTACTTCTCCCGTTGTTTCAACCCCTGATGAACCTGTGATGACAACTGTAACTTCTGTTTTTTCTAGGTGAGTGTGTGGCTTTCTGTTTGTTACTAACTGTAGTATTCAGAGACAGTACTTACCTTTATACAGAACAAAGAGGTATTATTTAGTGCTACTGCTGAGAATATTTTTGTGCATGCTTGAGGTGATGATAGAATGTTTTCTACATTCAATCTCTTTTTCCCTGTATGGTTGTTTTGAACCTGATCGCCTTCTCTGTCCTCTATGGGCTTTTTGTTGTTATCTCACTTAGACTATCCTCTTGAAAGGCAATCACCAATATATTTTCTTGCTGTGGTATTCCTTTTTCTGTAGCAACTTATGTGAGGAATAACAGAAAGTGTTAAGCCCACGTGCCCTTGTTCAGTGCCTAATGTTGAGGTGTGATTTTTCACAAGACTTCTTCAGCAATATATTTATTACCTTCCAGGTCATATTTCAAGGAGGAAGAGAACAGCACCAGGTGTGTGCATACCCTCACACCTGGCTAGCACCTGCTGTCCCTATTTGCAGTAGCCCAATTCACAATTTTTTAATGGGGACCTTATGCAGTAGAACCATTTCTTGTACATATTCAAATTGCTGGGGAGGTCAATATGGAAAGATATTGGTGTAATTCCACTTGTATCAAACTGAGTGGACTCACCCCTCATTTGGAAGTAGACCTGGGGTGCTTACTGTGTTTTCCTTGGGATGCAGGTATAGTATGGCTCCTCCCTGCACCTAGTTATTATGGTAAGTATTTCTCTGATACTGTTTGGCCTGATGTATTGCCCTAGCCCAGGCCTCGACAAACCACGGGTGCTAGGTCAACATAGCGACTAAAAATTTCATCATGACACTTAGTATTTTCTCCCATTTTATTCATGCGTAGGACTGTACTAAATAGAACTCGAATCTAGAACTTTTCTGGACTCTTGGAAGTCTGTAACTATTTTCACATTCTTTAAGACCTAAATCGAACTTTGTTTCTAGGATTTTAATGGTGGATTCAGCGCTTCATGTTTTTTCAGGAATGAAGTGCTGTAGTTGCACAACATATTACTAATTTTATGCCATTTTGTTTTTCTTCTTTCTATCAATTCAACCAATCAGTGCATGTGTTTAGACTCAGATGGGACCAAAGGCAGTTAGTTCAGGCAATACTATTCAGTGATTGTTGATATCATATGATCATTAGCTTGCTTCTGAGTTTTTGGGCTGGCTCCTAGATCTGAAAATATTTGTCGAGGCCCGCCCTAGCCACACTACATGTACCTGCTCTGCCAACCACCTGAGATATATTCACTGGCTGAGTGATCTTGTATACTACCCACCTGTGAAGGTTTGTTTTTCATAGTACCTTTTGCTCTTCCACCTTGATTAGGCAAAGAGTATTGTGTGCAGGAGAAGGATGTGGTTTCTCACTAGGCTACTCCCTAATGGATGACATGCTCCATGGTGTTTCCGTTACTGATGCTGTAATTTCAGAAAAGGGCTCATCTTCTTAATTTTTTATCTACACCAGCCCCTCAACAGTATTATCAATGTGGAATTATAGCTTTCTGCAGAAACACCCACCCCTCCTCCATAATTTTTTTTTATTTGCCTCATTAAGAATGAACCTTTGATTTAGTGCTAGTGAGTATGGGGTGTTTAATGTATATGAAGGATGTGTTGCCTTCCTATTGGTGGAAAGCTACAGTCTGATGAGGATTACATCAGAGGCTAGCACAGTCCATGTTAATACATTTAGGGGTGGAAGTTTTGTCCAAGGCTTGTGGCATGCACAAAAATTATAGCATTGACATGAGGTAATAGCTCTGTTCTCCTGTGAGGTGAATATCTATCTAAAATAAATTTTCTCACAAAACCTACAGAATTGTAAGGGATACGTTTCTTCTCTGAGAAACAAAGTTATGATAATAAATAAATACTTTCATTTGGGATGTATACAAAATTCAGGAGTTAAATATCCATTTCATTAAATTTTACAGTGGGTTTAATATAGCACAAGAAAACAAAACTCTGTTTTTTCTACTTTCTGTTGTTTTTATTTGACCAGTGACTTTCAGCACTTTTAACTCTGTCACGGTGACATAATTTTTAAACCTCTTTATGCGTATGGTACTGCATTACATTCAAAATTTGATTATACCATTTTACTTTCAATGTATTTTAATGAAACAATTATTATCAAGTACATTATAATTCAAGGTTTTATATTATTTAGGATATACTTTTATATTTTAGTTATGTAGTATTTGTGTTTTAAAATTTATTATATGCTTCACTCAATCAACTTTTATAAAGTTAGTGAGAGCAAACAACATTTTGTCAGAGGCTAAACTGTCTGCTGTGCTGATGTTAATGTTATACTGCCCATGGGCACCTGTTGATGTGTATCGACATATCTAGTCAAAGATAAAGAATACCAAAGGAAAATAAAACATTAAAAATAAACTATAAGTGAAAAGGTAAAGACGCGAAATGACACATGACCCAAAGAAGATATTTTAAGATTATTCAACGAAGAGATAAAAAGTATGTAAATATTTTAAACATTTCATTGTACTGTACGTTGATGATAATAGCTAGTTAGTGATGTTGTTGAGAAAATGAGAAATAAAATACAAACATTTACCTTAAAAAACTTTTGATATTCATTTAGGAGGTTCTAGAGATTATGCAAATGATATATGAAAACTGTAAGATAAAAAATAGTATTTTATACTTAACTTGAAAATCACCTTGCAGGTGAACTATTCAGAGACAAATAACAACATTAAATAACGAAATTTTAGTTAGAAATAGCGAAAAATTGAATATTTTATTTTTCTGAAACTACATACTTTTTTTTTGGTAAATTTCAAACAATTTCATCCACTAGTTTCATTTTTGGAAAGAAATTTCACAAGAGTTATGTAACCTATCAAGTAATCTTTATATATCAGTTTGATAGGGTTAATAATTTGAATACACTTTTTTTTGTTTATTTTTCAATATTCTTAAAATTTTTATTCTTGCTGAAGGTGGCAAACGTTTTTAATGAAAGTACATTGTCATAAACATTTAGATTTTAACTATTCTCATACTTTTGTAATATTGGATAAAATACACTTGTAAGAAGAAAGAAAAAGAGAGATTTCTTCTTGTATATATTTAAATAAGGTTCAATTTTTTCAGTGAACCAACACATTCCTATTGTCAAGTGTATAGTCGCCAGGTGCAAAACCATCGACCTGTTCATCCCCACAGCAACTACCACTCGTCAAATTACCCATCACATCCAGTACCTATTGTACAATTCCCAACATGTAGATTTCATACAAGTCAACAACCCATAGGTTGTCATGAAGCCACAGATTCTTGTCTAAGAAATCAAGTAAGTGTTTTATTTATTTAAAAAAAATAGCATTTAATCCAGACCTTTTCTCTTGTTAGCCACTTTACTGTTATAAGTAGATATTCTGTGATAGTTATGTGCTTAAACCTATGCAATACTGTAACTACAATAACGAACAAATTTAACATATGATGTAAAATATTGCTAAAATACTTATGTCAACATCTTGTCATTTAATTGGATATAATATGTTACTTATTTTCGCAAGTAGTTGGAAAGAATATTCCTTGTATATAAAATGTAATTTTTATGAAATGTTTTTTTCAGACATCTGGTGGAACTGGGGAATCGTGTCGGTCATTTAGTAATTGTTTTGGGCACACACATCCTGTTAATGCTGCATCTTGTCCTCACAGCCATGTCTATCCAAGTAAGATAGAATTATTGTTATAAAAATATGATTATGAAGCAATGTGTGAGAAAACGTGTTACATATCTCTCTTGTATTATAATACACTTTGAACAGGCCATAGCAAATATTTTGGTTACCACTGAATCTGGTAATGAGTTGATATTTAAATACAGAAATCTTTTCATTAAACAAAAAAAATAAAGAAGTTATTATAAACTGCTGTCAAAATATGTGTACACACAAGCAAACATTGACTGGTCACTTTATTAGGACTTTAATATCAAATTGAATGACCTTTCACCTTGATAATATTCATCTGTCATATACTTCATCAGATACTGTAAAGTTTTGTCTTTAACTGTAGCCTATTCAACAATGAATAAAGTCTGCAGAGGATTATGTCAGACATTCATGTTCTTCCTAATGATGCTCAATTAGATTGAGATTTGATGACCGTCCTAGCTGAGAAAGATGAGAGAAATTATTATATTGCTCTTTGAACTGGTTTCAGACAGTACTAGTACAGTAGATTGTGCACTTATTTTGGAAAAGCCCTTGTTTATCAGTGTGAAATGCAGTATTGTTGGATGCAGTAGTTTCAAAAACTTTACACTCCATGGACTAGTAAAGTCTTTGTAAAAACTATTAGTAGTACATAGGACTATAATGTTGTTTACTAATTTAGTTTTTCAAAAAGCTTTGAAGTAGAAATTATGAGGCTCACTTGTATTACAATGAACTAAGAATGAAATAAAACTTGTCACCTGTTCCTAACATACATAAAAATTATAAGTTTTAAGAAAAACCACTGGTGGAGTGGACATGATTTGTAACAATATTCATGTCCCTTTCTAAAGGAATCCAAGGACCCAACTTTTTACCAACACCAGTTCACCAACTTTAGCATATTTCACTGTCAGAATTGTAGCATGAGCAAGGTTATAAATGTTTTGTGATTTATTTTAGTGTCCTTCAGTACAGAAGAGGGTGAAAAACAGTTGAAGAAACAAAGTGAAAACTGTAACTGCCAACCATGTGCAAGTGACAGACATATTTCATTATAAATATTAGGTCCTTTCTCTTACTAATTGTCTTTCGGACTGACTCTGATGTGAACATATCACTGTTTTTATAGGCATCAATCACACTGCAAGTCAGTTTATTGTGCATATAAATTAACTAATTGAAAATTATTTCTACATATTCACCAACTGAACTCAGAGCTGAAAGAAATGAGTTACACAGTTAACTTGGTGTGTGTTGAAATATTTTTCTACTGTTTTGTGTTTAAAAATGAATAAAGTTTAGCAAACTTGTATATGTGTTTGGGTGAGGGCTAAATAAAGCGGTCAGTTGGTGTGTATGTGTGTGTGTGTGTGTGTGTGTGCATGTGTTATTACATGTGTATAATTTTACACTAAATCATTCACAGATTTTGACTGCCACACTTGCCAAGGTCCTCAGTTATACAAAGTTAAAGTCACTTATCTTCAAGTATGTTTCAGTAATTAATCACATTAAGTGTTTAAATTTGACATTTGACTGTATACTACTTTGAATATCAGTTGTTTGTAGATCCTTACTGAAGGAGTTGTTACCAAATACAGTCTTTAAATACAATATATCTTTTATTAAATTTCAAAAAATGAATTTTTCTCAAGCAGAAATTATTATTAAATAGAAAACTGTATACACAGAGTTCAGTTTTTGTGGTTTTCTCTTTCTAACATATTTTTCATGGGTGGCATGAAATGTGCATTTTTTGCTCAGATGTGTAATCTTGCAGTTTACATAAATACTGTCTTCACAGCCAGTCCAACCCTTGATAACCTCTTTTGGTCACTTCCTGTGATTGAGCCTCTCCAGAACTTTTTATACATATATTGCACATGTAGAGTACCTTCTCTGTTCTGTAACTGATTCAGACCTTCCTGTTGCTCAGTACTGTTATAATGAAATTAATAATTGCATTCCAATGTCATTGTGCTTTTATTAAATTTTTAATGTTAAAAAATTTTGGCTATTTGATTAAAGCGGATGTAGTCATTCAGCAGACTGTGTGACTTGGATTGTAGACTGTAAGGATTAATCTGTAGACAGTTAAGGATTGATCTGTAGATTCTAGGGATTCATCTTTAGATAATAAAGATTGGTTTGTAAAAATTAATCTGTAGACAGTAATGAGTGCTTTATTAACTGTAAGATAGATCTGTATATTGATAGTATTAAGTTGTAGTCCAAATATTAATCTGTCGCTTATAAAGATTAGCCTATTGACTGTAAGAATTGTGCAACGTATAGTAAGAACTGCTTTGTATACCTTTAGTCCAATCTGAAACAAAGGAATGACCTTTAAACTGTGTTAATTGACCTGTGGATAATAATTATTGATGTGTAAATTTAAAACCTGTCTGTAGATTATAAGAATGTTCTAATGTTTTTCTACAAGTTTTTATTTGGAATATCTTTTAAACATTTTTTTTTGGTGGTGAGGTGGGGATTTTATCACGTTATTACTACTATTTTTTTAAGTCTGGAGTTTCAGAAACGTAAGGTTACTGATTTAAAAAATCATATTTGATGTCTTGAAAATTCTACTAAAAATTGATAAAATAACAGCATTTAGAATTATAGACTAGAAGTACTTTATAAAAAAAAAAATACAACCACTCCAACATGTGAGTTATATTTATGGTCTCTGTAAAACGGTTTTGCACTATGCCTTGAAAAGGGAAAAAAAAACTGTTGGATCATCCAGTAAAGCTATTTTCCTACATGTAAATGTTATATATTAAAAGGTTAAAGTTTATTTAATATAGTATAAAAGAAAAGCCTCTTAGTGACTCAGCAGGAAGTCTGTGTACTTACAATATGAAAAATTGGGTTTCAATCTCTTGGTGGGTTTAACTACAGACAAACAAACATTAGAATGTGAAACTTGTCTCGAACAGAAACTAAATAGAGAACTGCATAAATCCAGAGTTCAGTTTTATAGTTTTCTCTTTCAAAAATATTTTTTTTGCAGGAATCATGAAACATGCATTTTTGCTCAGATGGGTAATCTTGCAGTTTACAGTGTCTTTGAATAGTCAGTCCAACCCGTGATGTCCTCTTTTGGCCACTTTGTGTGATACAGCCTTTCCAAAAATTGTTATGCATCAAACAATACTGGTCAAATCTGACTCAAATTTTTAGATAGGAATTTCAGTGATGTGATATTTTTCTTATTGCATACATTTTAAGCAGTCTTCTGCTTTAATACAAAAACAGTAGGCATTCTGAAAGAAGTATTGATAATGTGTAGAGTATATATATATATATATATATCAATCAAAGTCAATCAAATTCAATATGCTATTCAGTACTCAACATTATAGGCCGTAATTACAAAAGAAAAGGCTGTATTGGTATTCCTTAGACTGGTATTTACTGGTTTATGAGTCCTGTGTTTGTAATAAATAACACAAACTCACAGTTGTTATTTATGATTTCAGGTGCTCCAAGTCCACATTTAGCTTACATGCCACCAGGAGTCCACACTCCAGGACCACATCCTTCTGTTAATCCAACACAGCACCCACCATTTCCCCATTTTTATAATCCTCCTCCAACTCCAAATCTTCAGGACCTTTCTCCACACCCTCGCCATCATCCTCCAGGACTGGCTCACATGAACCCAACCCATCAACGTCTTTGGCAGGTAATAATAATAATGAATTTATAAACTTGTAACAAAAAAAGACCAATGGAAAAGAAGTAATTGACATTATAGTATTTTTAAATTTTGTTTACTTTGAAATGGTTTTGTAACCTTTAAACAATATTAGAAGACTTTCTAAGCATTAAAATTGTAAATTCTTGAATATGTATAAATGACAGAAAAAATATTTAGCTGTCTAACCCTGTCCAAATCTCAGAGCACCAACCTTTCAGGTATTGGGTGCAGTTCTTCATATAAGGTTTCACAATTTAAGTACAAATAATAATGCTAACTCTCTTTCAACAATTTTTCACTCAAAGATATTTTATTTTTGATATTTTGTCATAAATGTAATATTTACTTGTTGTAATTCATAAAGAAAAATGAAAAAAAATGTCTACAATTTCATTTCTGTGCATTTCTGAGGAGTCTCGTGTAAACAACACCATATCTATTTTTTAGAATTTTTTTGCCTATCCCAAAGCAGAGGTTTATATTTATATAGGAACTATCACTCTTTAAGAAAGCAATTGTCTGTATTTTGTTTCTCACATGATTTTTTTTTCTGTTAGTAGTTTTATTACTACAGCTTCATTCGCACTCTTTCATATCATAGCACGTGGTCTGAACAATTACTAAAGAAAAAGTTACAACAATGTTTAAATATGATTGGACAGAGCATATTACAAACTATTTACAATCAATTTAATGTAGAGTAAATAAAGTAGTTTCAGCAATACTTTATGGTTTTGTCAAAAAAGTGACAAAAAGCTGGAGCTTTTAATAGTTTTTTTAGTCATCATTTTAATTCCTGAAAATGTTCTTGTTTTAAAACTACAGAATTTTATTTTCTATCACAATACAGATAAGTTTAATTAGGTCTTAGCAAGTACTGTATGCATGAGCAAAATATTCCAGGGATCCAAATCCTTATGAAATGAGTATTATTGTCAAGTCTGCCATATTCAGTTAATGCAAACACATAAAAGGACTTTATTTATTAGTTCTAAATTGATCTTGACCAAGAATACTGTAAGCAAAAATAAAAATACCTAGCTTGACAAAGATAATAGTGATTCTATTTTGAAAGGTCAAATTGTATATTGCCAATAAACTTTTGTCAGTTTTGGCACTGTTTTGTATGATCTATATCTGGAAATGGTGACTACTGCAATTGGCAAGAAAAAATTTCCTAAACAATAAACTGATTGTATACTAAATGGAACTTTCTTATCATCAATAAAAAAGTTTAAACTTTTAAGTCAGAAAGAAGTATTTTTAATGTTTTTTCCATTTAAAAAAATTTTTAGGATTTTCTCTAATGCAAAAAAAAAGCAGAAATATTAATTTAAATTATTATAATTTTTTTAAAGCCAATACTAGATACTATTTAGTGAGTTTGTACTAAATATCATACAATTTGGTTAAGTATTTCCACTGTGAGAAGAAAAACATCTGGGGAAATAAATAACATCCCTCCAATCCAGAAGGTTTTAAAATGTGAACAGCATTCTCATTCTCTGTTGTTTTTACACAGGCCCAACAACGTATGCAAGAAATGCAAAGGAGGAGGCTCTACCAACACACGATCGGCTTATACATGCACAGGTGTGTGAGTCAAATACGAACGTTAGTAATTACTTTTTTGATATGAAAGTGCAGACCTATGTGTTTATGGTACAATCCTATGGCTCTTGCTTTACAAACATGCTGAGGAATATGAATATGGCACATTACTAAATAAAGGATAATTTTCATTGAAGTTTGTATATTTGTGTAATGTAGAATGTTATATTTTGTCTTCTCTGTCTTTCCACGTTTGCTTATTTATATTAGAACTTCTTTTCAATATGCTAAAGAAAACTGTCTAAGAAATCTAGGCAGCAATATAAACAGAAATCAAGATTCAAAGACACTATTGTTGACATACAAAGTCCTTTTAAAGTGATAAGAATTACAAATATCTAGATATAATATTTGTCAACACAAATATGACATAACACGAATATATCTAATATAAACCATAGGTTCTTCAAGAAATCAGTTAAGTTCAAATGAAACACACTGGTTTTAAAAATGTGGCTACACAAGCTATAACCACTTTTAAATCACTGAAATGTTTTACTATATGTCTAAATGCCTGTGCCAACATTTTTTCAACTAATCTAACCTGGATTTTAGGAGAATAATTAATGCAAAAAGAAAATTATCCAGTTTATGAAGATGAACTTTGGTTAATTATATGTGATATGTATTATTTAGGAATGCTTTTCTCCAGTGTTTGATACATAATTCAAAATACATCCCAATCGAGATCAGCACAAGCATTTCCAGTGCCGTATAGCAAGTACTGATGTAATACACGATAACTTGTGAATAAATTTGGGCAAATAATTAAAAACATGGTGAGAAGTGGATTGCCTGAATAAACTCAGACAAATATTTTTGAAACATGTAGAGAGCCTGAGTTATCTCTGGCAAATCATTGAAGGGGTTAAATAGTTATATATATATTAATCATGTTCTGTAGTGTTAAGTTAAAAAAAAGGTAATATATATATATATATAAAGCATTAAAACCTGACGAATCTTGTAATGTCATTATTTCATAGAACAAGGTAATAGGTTTAATGTGTGATGTTAACATTGGATGTGAAAATTAATACTTACACATACTTGTGTTTTTAGATTAATTTGTACTGGTGTTTTTTATTTTAACCAGAGGTTGAAAAATACGGTGCCAAGTCACCCTGGTGCCTCAAAATTTCGATCTAGTGACTGGAAAATCACCTAAGAAAATAATACTTTTTCTGTAAAATCATACAAGCTGGACATCAAGTCAGATGAGTTGGATAGAAATTATGATAAAAGTTATATACTTTGTATATAAAAAGCCATTGTAATTCTCTGTATCGAATAGTATTTATAGGATTCATATATGTTTGTGCAAAATGTAACGTAACTTATTTATTAGATAAATACTATGTAAAGTGTGTGCTAAATCACATACTACCTATTCTAGATGTCTTTTTTATATGTGTTTGTACCAACTGTGTTTAATATCCACGTAGTGAACAATATTGATACAGGTATAGTAACAAAGTTTATGCATAGTAGTATGGTATGTATTTGTCTATGAAAGCATAATTTTATTTAATACTTCAGTATTACTGCTCTAGTAATTCTTTATTGTAGTGTAATTCTTTACCAGCCGATATGTGATAAATTAAGAAGCAGTGTTAATGTAGTTGTATAAAATTTAGGGATTTGTCAATTAATTTAGATAAAAATAGTTTTGTGATTAAAACCACAAATTATTGTAAGGTTATCATTTTTGTATTATGTATAGTTGACAGAGAAAAACATTGTTCACACATTTTGTATTATGTATAGTTGACAGAGAAAAACATTCTTCACACATTTTGTATTATGTATAGTTGACAGAGAAAAACATTGTTCACACATTTTGTATTATGTATAGTTGACAGAGAAAACATTGTTCACACATTTTTTATTATGTATAGTTGATAGAGAAAACATTGTTCACACATTTTGTATAATGTATAGTTGATAGAGAAAAACATTTTCACACACATTTTGTATTATGTATAGTTGATAGAGAAAAACATTCTTCACACACATTTTGTATAATGTATAGTTGACAGAGAAAAACATTCTTCACACACATTTTGTATAATGTATAGTTGACAGAGAAAAACATTCTTCACACACATTTTGTATAATGTATAGTTGATAGAGAAAAACATTCTTCACACACATTTTGTATTATGTATAGTTGACAGAGAAAAACATTCTTCACACATTTGGTATTATGTATAGTTGGCAGAGAAAAACATTCTTCACACACATTTTGTATAATATATAGTTGACAGAAAAACATTCTTCACACACATTTTGTATAATGTATAGTTGACAGAGAAAAACATTCTTCACACACATTTTATATTATGTATAGTTGA